AAACTTTTGAATCCAAACTGTAAAGAAGCTTGATATTACAGCTGGTCTATACAGGATCTGGAGACCTGGTGGCTTCCCCAGGCCCATCTCTCAGGGACATTTGTTTACTTTGGGGTTTTGCTGGGATTTACAGACCCCAGGGAACCATTCTAGGGTCAAAACCTACAGACTTGCCTGCAAAGAAAGGCCTGGGTTTCTTTCCTCTGGGCTTTCCCTCCCTTCTTCCAGCCCCCACCCCATGCAGAACTCTGCAGCATCTGAGAGAAAAGCCCTGCAGCTCATCAAAAGCATGGCAGGGATTATATTTCAAGTTGAAGTTCAAAACGGCTTGCTTTTTGCTTCCACTTCTTACTTCCTGGACCCAGACGGCGGGCGCCTGTTAGTACTTCAGTGTGCTGAGTCACAAGCCATACATGCTCGCTCTATCATTTGAGGCTACCACACCAACAACTTCCATAGCAAGATGAGTTCAGGGACCATGTGGCATGCACTGGCCCCTGAAAGAATTTTGTGAGCTAAAACAAAACATGATACTTTTTTTTTTAATCTTTACTTTATCTAGAGGAAATGGAACAACCCAGAAGAAATTAAAAAGAAATGTGCTATCACCTGTAACTGCCTAATTACCAATATTCTTTATTTTTATTTTATGGGTGTCAAATAACTCTTACTTGGCTTTTTCCATTCAAGTCCGGTTCTCTACCATTTGAGCCACATCTTCACTATGGCTTTTTTCGTTAATTAGGGATAAGAGATTCACGGACTTTCTGCCTAGGTGGGTTTCAAACTGTGATCTGCAGATCTCAGCCTCCTTTGTAGCTAGGATTATAAGCATGCACCATTGGCTTTACTGCATTGGTTTTTGTTTGTTTGTTTTTTGAGGCTTGTGTTTGCTTCCTAAGCAAATTTAAAGGACATGCATGACAAGGACACTGGCCATTTAAAGAGCCATTCAGATCAGACCCCCTAGAAACACAAATGGTTGCTACCCACTGACCCTGTCTTGCTGTCAGAAAGAGAAATATTGGTGACTAAGTTACCAACCAAAAAAATTGGGTAATTCCACATAAAAATTCAGAATTAGCCAGGAGCCAGTGGCTCACGCCTGTAAACCTAGCTACTTAGGAGGCTGAGATCTGAGGAACGGGATTCAAAGCCAGCCTGGGCAGGAAGGTCCATGAGACTCTTACCTCCAATAAATCACCAGAAAACTGAAAGTGGCACTGTGGCTCAAGTGGTAGAGCACTAGCCTTGAGCTGAAGAGCTGAGGAACAGCACCCCTGCCCAGAGTTCAAGCCCCACAACTGACAAAAAAAAAATCAGAATTGATGATGCTTTTAAAAATTTGAAAGATCTGATAACAATAGACCAAAATTTCTGTGTGGGAGCAAGACATTCAGACAGAATGGTTTCCATGATTAACATTCACCTGAGTTGACACTTGGCCTTCTTCCCATTAAACCTGTCCCTGTCCCCTAGCACCAGGGACCACCACCACCCCATCTAGTAGAACCACTATACTTGGCAGGTAACAAAAGCAATGATCAAACTCTCTTATGACTTATGCAAAGCCACCCAATTAGATAAAGGTAGATTTGGCCATTAGAGATGCAGGGAGAGCTAGTAGAATTTCAGCCTCCTTCCCAAGATGTCCCTTTCCCTGGAGCTCTGGTTGTGAAAGAAATCAGGCCACATTTGAAGCAGTGTCTCAGATGATGTTAGCTCTGAAGTTATTTTAATTATAAATCATCACTGGGGACTAATAAGGGCATCAAAGCTGAGGTACTGACATAGACCAGAAAGGCTGATGAGTATATAACCAGAAGATAGAACATTTCCTGGGGGATTTTAAATTTAAGTAATCTATATTTAAAATATCATGATTTCAGTGAGCACCAGAATGGGGCAAGGAATAAAAGTGAATAAAAATCACATCCCAATTTAACTGTACTGAATACATTAAAAATATTTCTTAAATTTTTCTATTATATAGTTGTTTATGCAAGAATTCTTCCCTACAGCCTCCATTTTGTTAATGTGTGGTAATAGGGATAATAAAAATAAGTGGCTATTATTAAGATCTTTAGAACCCTCGTGACTAATGATATTATTTTTCTCATAAGGCCAACATTTAGATTATCAAAAAACATTGTTTCCACAAGTAAAGGAATTCTAAACATACATAATACAAAAGTCCACTGGCACTAATACCTCTAATATAGTTTTTTGTTTCTTACAGCATTGATTAACAATAGAAGTGGGATTTGCTTATGGATTTTTGGCTCAGTCATAATTTCATTCTGCTTTCCAGGGAGCACCAATCCCACCTGCACAGCAATCTATCACCTGGAAGGGGTTTAAGAAACAGCCAAAATGTTTTTGTATGTGACCTCAAAAATAACGCTCTCCTCTCCCCTTCCTGGAAAAAAGAAATGTACTGCATACCCAAATGATGATACAGCCATTGCTGATATGACCAGTGGGACAGTCTGTATGTCTTCCAGCTCCACACTTCTTTCCTCAGAGCCTGAAAAGCTCATCAGCGTCTACACAGCTGAATGCTGTAGTGCATTGAAAACTGCAGTTGCTAAAATTAAACTGACACTTGGCAGAAATTATCATAACACTTCCCACCGCAGTCTTATGATAGACAGAATGTCTGCATGGCACAGGCAGCGTTGAGAATGGGGCTGTGCTGAGGCTACCCAGCAAAAGCTTGAGTGGGATCTAGCATTTGAAATTCAAATGCCAGTCTTTCTTCAGTCCCTTCCCAAGAACACACAAGTCAATACTCAAGTTCAAACTCCCTGGGGGCTGGGAAGGTGGCTCAGCGGTAGAGTGCTTGCCTTGCATGCATGAGGCCCTGGGTTCGATTCTTCAGCACCACATAAGCAGAAAAAGCCGGAAGTGGCGCTGTGGCTCAAGTGGTAGAGCGCTAGCCTTGAGCTGAAGAGCTGAGGGGCAGCACCCAGGCCCAGAGTTCAGGCCCACAACCGGCAAAAACAAAAAACAACAACAACAAAACAACAACAACAACAACAAACTCCCTTTGCCTTCTGTCTGTGCTTTCTCACTGAAGAGGAAAGGAGCTATGCAGTTGAACAAAGGAAAGGAAAGGCTCTATTTTGTCATCTGCCAGGATGTGTTTTCTCCTTCTGATTTCCACCACCCTCGGGATCAAGAGGGGCTCCTACAGAGCTAAGAAGTAAGGAGACTACTTTTAAGGTAATGAGAAGGCACTTTTCTCCCTGGGGGCCCACATTACTGCCTCTGTTCTGGCAGCATTTTGTCCTAAACTAAAGCATATGTCAGCTTCCCCAGATGCAGCTCAGGAGACCAGTGCCACCGAAGAGTTAAGCAAATTCCTTGGAAATAGGAGGAAAGGAGGCAAGTTTCCTGGAGCTGTGCAGGTGCGAAATTACAGCCTGCCATTGCTCATCAAGCCACGGATTCCAAGCCTTTGCACAGGGGCTCAGATACAGAACATTCAGGTTTCTGGACAACTGAGTAAATGTTCTGAGCACACATTAAGTACTCTCAGAAAATATTAGTCAAATGGTCAACTCAGCGCCACTTCCATCAATTTTGAAAGATTTTTAGCAGACTTCTTTCTCACCCCTGCAATTCCAAGTCTGATTTCAGTGTCTTCATTGTCCATAAATGGCCAATGTAGGGCCAGGTCATCTGACTTAACAGCAGAAATGACACAATGTCATTGACACAGTGTCTGCACCACTACCCAACGTTCTGCATCATAATGAAGTCACCTTATGTAATAGCACACACTCAAACCATCTACAAGCCCAAGAAAAATGATATTGGTACATACATGCAAATTAATCGGTAGACAAAAACAAAAGGTGATTTAACTTTGGTTAGCCAAAAAATGGAGGCCAATGTGAGCCATATCCAAACAGCAGAATACTTTTGTTTTCTTTTTATTTAGTTACAACACATGGTACAACAGAGGTCAAACCCAGTTCAGTGGAGGTTGTTGAAACTACACCTGCTAAAGGAACAAGCCTGTAAAAAGGACACTTTCATAGACCAAATTAAATAAATCAAAGAAGCTGGCAGCAAAGCCCTTTTCAGTATCTCAACCACCACATTTCCATGCACCCACAGGGAAACAACATAAACATTCCAGTTAAAAGAAAATGTGGCCGTTCCAGGAAAGCTACGTGATGCATTTAACAGGTTCCACTCCACTATCCAATTGACCACCTGCATACCGTGATCTCTTATCCAGGTTGAACACTTGAGAATTTGAGATCCGTGAGATTGAATATTCATTGCATTGCTTGGGACTGGTAAATGCAGGCATGTTCTCTACAATCGACTTCAGTGTCTTCCCTGCCATCACTCACCAGTGACTCTTTCCTAAGTGTGAAACTGCCAGAATGGCAAGTCTTGCAGACAACAGCACTTGGTCCTACAGATTCAGGACTCTGCTAGTTTGTATATTCGCCTGAGTGCTGGAGGAGGCAGAGAACATTCTCTAAGTCTTCATTCTTGGATAAAGCTCATCATCTGATTTGTCAACGCTTTGTTTGGAAATATAAAATTCAGTATAGTTCCCCTCCCCCAAAGAATATTATTTATACAACACTTTAATCTGTCAAAATATTAACAAACATAATCATTTTAACGTTGAGCATAGTGGTTTGGAAAATTAATCCTAAAAACAGACCACAAGTATATAAGAAAAACAGGCCCAAAACACTAAATGTTAAAAGAGTCCCAAAACAAATTTTGAGGCAAAAATGGAATCATTTTTAGACAGATAGGCTTACAAAGTATTATCAAGCACAATACAAACCTATCACGATGTGGTGGTGTCTATAATCCCTACCTCAAATTTAATGTTTTAAACAAAAATTAACAACTAGTCTTTAAAAACTGCTAATACATGACATGATAAAAATGTAAAAAGAAGAAAGTAAACCAACAAACCTTTAGTCTTTAACAAAAAGTATCTGAAAATGTACCTTTTTCCTTTCTTTTTGTTAAACTTTTACTGACGACTTTAAGGTGATGTTGGCAATAGTCCAGCTCAACTGGGATTCTTAAACTTTCCCCTCCCCTCATTCTAGAGTTCTTTTTTAAAAGGCTCCAATCTCTGTCCCCCAAGGTCTATAGGGCTTGCCAAGGTTTGCAGCCTGCGTGGGTGCCGAAGGGCTCAGTGCATTGGGAGAGAGTAGATGGAAGGAGCCGAAGGAGAAGGGGAAGGCGGCAGAGAGCGAGGCCACCGAGGAGAGCAGAGGCGGGGACAGTTTGGAGGCCGAGGTGACCACGGGCAGCACCGGTCCAAGGCCGCCGCTAGGGGGCGCTCGCAAGGCAGACGCCTCTGGATGCGCCGAGGCCAACCTGCCCTGATGGTGAGACTCCGTGGACGAAGCGGCGGTGCCCGCGTTCCCGTGGCCGTTCTGGGGCAGCAGGAGAGGGTGCGCGAGGTGCGGGTGATGTCCGAAGGCGCTTCCCCAGGGAATGTGTCCAAGGCCCGCGTGCGCGCCAGTCGCCGCTTCCCGCTGGGAGGCGTAGTTGTTGAGGTGCGACACCAGCCTGACGCGGAGAGGGTCAGAAGCATCTAGTCCTTCGATGATGCTCAGGTAACGGGCGACTTCCGCCAGGCATTCTCGAAACCCCAAACTCCGGTAATCCATAGCTAGGGCGTGCGCATCGAAATAGCCTGGAGGACGGAACAAAAGAAAAACCTCAGGGCTTCGAGCCTTTCATCCTTTCCCCCGCATTTCTTTCACCGCCTAGGCAGCCTGCCTCCAAATACCCACAGCGCTGAAAGAGCATTCATTCAAACCCGTGCCAATGGTCCACGCCTGTCATCCTAGCTACTAAGAAGGCCAAGATCTGAGGATCATGGTTAAAAGGCTGTGAGACTCTTATCTCCAATTAGCCAGCAAAAAGTCACAAGTGTAACTGTGGCTCAAGTGGTACAGTGACAGAGTTGAGTGAGGGATGGAGCCCAGGGTCTTTAGTTCAAGCCCAGTACACACACACACACACTCTCTCTCTCTCTCTCTCTCACACACACACACACACACACACACACACACACACAAAATGGCACTCAGGGGTTCTGGAAATTCATATTTTGGAGCTGATGAAAATCTTTGCATTAATCAACATTGCTCATGCAAGTTCAAAGCTCAATTAGAAGTTGCTGAGCAGAAACTGGAATTATACTCTCCCAGCAGATGAAACTATGTTCATCCTTTAATGTTTTCACTCAACAACAACAAAAAATACATCAAGGACAGAGAAACCACAGAGCAGTGAAATTCATTAGACACACAGATGTAAGTTATCATCGTGGAACTCTTCAGGCATTGTGGTCCTCAGCAGAGCATTCATTCTCCGGCTGGAGACAGACACTCAAGACCTTGCTCTCCTACCTTCTGTTAGGATTTTCTCTACTTAAAACCACAACAGGTTTCGTTTCTCCAGAGTCACTTGGCAGCTCGTTTTCAAAATCTCGTATGTGACATCAAGACCCATCCATATACGTCAAAATAAATTATCATCTATTTCTCAAGCTTTTTCTCAAAATAGCAGTGGATAAATGTGAAAACTACCTGATTAGAATCAGGGTCCTCACAACTTTAGAGTATGTCACAGTTGACATGTTCTGAAAGACCCATTAGCTCAATTTGTAGCAGGCTAGGGTGAAGAATTCACGGAGGAAAATCTCCTGCGCAGCTGAAGATGTACTGACAGGCAGCCACACACTGTTCTCTCCCCACCCCCAGAGCAAAAGCAGGCCATGACTGCACCAATCCTGGCCTGCGCCTACAGCTCCCTCCACCCCAACCACGCAGAGCCCCCACCAGGATTCATGGGCTGTACCTTTCCCTCCTGCAGTGTGAAGCATTTTCAGGTGATCCACGGTCATCTGCAATATCTCAGCTTTTTCTAGCTTAGCAGACCCCTAAAAGATGAGAATAGCAAAGTAGAGGACTTAAAATATGCACACACATAGACCCATATGTACATGCTCTGTACATCAAGAAGTGTGATTGAAAGCAAAAGCAGTTTGCTTTCACAAATGCCGTTGGTATCGATGTATGAATTCATCACTCACAATATGGCTATTTTCCAAGGCACGAATAGGATTCAGATGGGAGGCGGGGGCAGGGAAGGATTCAGAAGGTGCAGAAAACCACACGGAGAGCTCTACCTACTTTCTCCATTACCTGCTTCTCAAAAGCACTGGGAACCAGCCGCCTCAGCTCAGACAAACTGTTATTGATCCGGTCTCGTCGGCGCTTCTCGATGATCTATGGGAAACAAGCAAAACAAAGGAGAACATTTCCATCACGACTGTCAATTCCGAAAAGAAGCGTGATTCTGAACGTTAATTAACAGCAACCCCCCCCCCCCCCATTAAAAAGAAAAGAACATTGTAAAGACTCACTCCTCTCCGTCTCTTCCTGGCTAAGATCTGAGAAGATGTCGTTGGGGACATGGAACCAAGAGCTGAACTCAAGTTTCTGAAGAGAGAGAGAGAGAGAATCTCCGTGGAGAGAAGGAGGTGCCTGAGAGGTCACCCCCACCCCTGCACGCGTGCTGTTTGGACAACTTGGGTTGGAAAGAGCCCCGCGTCGCTCCCGGCGGGCGGCGAGCGGCCCGCGCCCGCCCCGCTGTCAGCGCCGCGGGGGCGCAGTCCGCCCGCCCCGCCGCGGCTCCGCGCCGCCGACTCACCCATTCTCGTCCGCACTCTCCTTCTCCACCTCTATCGTCTCATCCAGCTCGCTGTCGGAGGAGCTGTACTCGGGATGAGCTCGCTTCATGCTGGCTGCGGGGGGGGGGGGTCTCCGGGGAAGGGTCCGCGCGGCGGACAGGGGGGAGTTAACAACCGCGGCGCCTCTCCGCGCTCGGCTGCCGGCGTTCCGCACACTCTGCTCGCGCTCGCGCTCTGCCTCGGGTTAAAACTCAACCATCCCTTTCCCACGCTGAGCCCCTTCCCAGGGCCCAGGGAAGGGCGGGGGAGGCGGGGAGGCGGACGAGGGGGCGGGGAGGCGGGGCCGCAGCTCCCAGGCAACAGCCTCACTCTGGCCAATCCCACTTCTCGCTCGGCTGATTGGCAGCCGCTCAAGGGAGAGGCGGAGCCCTGGCTGAGAGAGAGGGCGGACCTCGCCCCCGCCCCCCGTGCCCGCCCTTGCCCCGCGGCGGTGCGTCGGCTCCGCAGGGGCTCCGCCGGGCCTCTACAGGGGGGTGCGGGGGGTTGAGGGGGGAGGCACAGGCGGCGGTGGGCCGGCGGCGGGGAGGCGCGGAAGGCCGAGCCGGGACACCAGCCCGCCGGCGGCCGCGGCCCCGCCCCGCCCCGCGCGCCCGGATTGGCCTGGCCGCGCGCCAGGGCCGCGCCTGCAGCGCCGCCGGTGAGCCGCACGCGCCGCGGGCCGTGGGAAAGTGCCGGCGCCCCGGCCGCCAGCCAATCCGGGCGGCTGGCGACGGCGACGGCGGCCGCGCTGGCGGCGGCGGCGGCGGCCCCGGGCGTCCGCATGAATGGAGAAGAATGGCCAGGCGGGGCGCGCGAGGGCGCGCCGGCCGGAGCTGGGCGGCTGCGGGCCGGCTTCCCCGTGTGAACCTGTAATCGGAGCCTGGGCGCCAGCGGGCTCCGGATGCCGCCACCGGGGCCACCGTAAATCTCGGCTGAGTGGCTGCCGGGGCCCGGTGGCGGGATGCGCGCGCTGCTGGCGGGGCGGGCACCTTTCCGGGCCGATCGCCGGCGGCTCCCCGGATCCTGCGGGGAATCGGGGAGAGGGGAACTCCCGTTCGCCCGGCGCACTCCCGGGGGCCGTCATCGCGAGGCCCCCCGCCACCGGGAGGGACGGGACGTGGTTTTCTCGGTGGCGTTCTTTTCCCGGACCTTATCCTCCCTTGGAGCCAGGCTCTTTTGGACAGGACTTCCCAGCCTCTGGGATGGAATGAATTCCCCTGTGCATCTCATTTCCGGGGAAGTAGAGCGTTTGTTTTTTCGGCTAAGTTGGGAGAGGGAAAAGAAAACAAAACTCCCTGGAGATGGTCATTATGTTTGGGGTTTTTTATTGTTGTTATTTTTTCCCCCAGCACTTGGCGGCCAGGGCCTCTGAGCGGGCGACAGGGTGGCGGGCGGGCGTCGGCCGCCCGGGCCGGCCTCGCTGCGGGAACGCACGTTGCTGAATGGTCGGCACACGCACGCACACGCACACGAACCGCCTCCTCCTGGCCTCGGTTGTGCCGTGTACCGGATGCTCTATGAACTTGTGCAAGTCCCCCAAGAAGACAATGTTTCAAACGGGCTTTAAAAAAAATTGAAAAGATCGTTTTGACTTTCAAAACTGATTTCGGATTCCAGGATTTGGAGACACAAAGGAATAGTGTGGGGGGGGGGGGTTGCTTTTAAATCCCAGTCTTTTCTAACTCTATCCAAGGCACAGCACAATTTGTCTCAAGTCCACCTTTGTAATTTGCAGTCCTGTTAGTGAGGGAAAGTCTAATCAACGACGAGTATCACAAGAGATGTCTCACCTTTGTAATTACACCACATTAATCATTGACCTTTATTTTTTATTGTTATAAGGGTGATGTACTGAGGGGTTACAGTTACATAAGTCAGGTAATGAGTACATTTCCTTTTGAATAATGTCACCCCTTCCCTCACCCAGTTTTTCCCTCCTCTCCCCACCCACAAGTTGTATAGTTCATTTTCAACATAGTACCACTGCTGCTTTTGTTCACCCTTTGTCCTTCCATTTCTGTATCCCTTTCTTCCCCTCCCAAAGACAGATAAATGAACAAACAAGACAAAAAGAAAAAACCATCACTAATAAACCTCTTGTTTCCATTTCCTGGGAGTTCATTTCGATAAAGATTTTATATGCGCAGAGGCACATGGGCATTAAGCCCTTGTGTTCCTCTCCTAAGAATATCCTCCCTTGGATCCTCACTGTGTGAGTGCCTAATTATTGATCTTAAAGCCATCTGAGTACTCTTAGGAAACCATGCACTGTGTGGCCTGACCCTAATCCACATATTCCCCTCCTGCCCCCACCTCCTCACAAATGTTTTGCAACCAGCTCCCACTTAATCTCTCATTGTACTTCACCCTCCCTGCAGCCTCTCAGAGGGCCTGAAATCCTGCTCCCCTGGGGTTTGAACTGGAGGTCTCAAGCTTGCTAGGCAAGGGCTAGCCACGCCCCCTGTGTTAAACCCCTTTGCTTCCTAAGAGTCCACACGTTGCCTGTCCCTTATCAATCCAACGTCATTCTCAGTGACTGCTTTATCTGCCTTTCTTCCCAGATGACAGAGCCTTCTGAGAATTGCTATTCCAGAGCTAGTTTCCCCTCCAAGGTTCCTTTCCATTTTTCAGTCAAGGCACAGAATACTATTAGCCTCTTCCCTTCCAGTACTTGAGGATGCAATCATAGGAAACTAACTCATGCCTCCACCTTCCACAAGCCCCTAGAACATTCATTCCATTTCCTCCCCTGAGTGACAGGCCATCCTGCCCAAGAATCAGTATGTTCATTCCTGTGTGGTTCTGTAAAATTTTCCAGCTTCCAACGTACAGCAAGTCTATCTTTTCTGCAATGGCCCAATCTGGCTGTTGTGCAGAGACAGACAAGCTGTAACTTAATGGGTGAGAAGGAAAGCCAGGGTGGGCTCAAGGATGCTTAACTCCACATTGGTTTAAGTACCAATATTTATCACCTGTGCGTGTTTATGGTTAAAAAAAATGTAGTAATCCTATCTCCTCTAACATTGACTGTCATTTTTTTTTTAAAAAACACATCTAACAAGTACTTATTTGGTGCTCTCTACGTGTCTGTCATTAAGCTAGCACCTGAGAACGCAAAAGAGACCCAAAGGTGATAGGCCCCATCCTTCTAGAACTCACATCCTTGGGAGGAAGTCAGACAATACACAAGTAAAATGGCTGTACATGCCTCAACACCTAGAAGCACCTTCTGATAAGGAGAAACTAGGGGGTGAGACACTTTACGAATTTGTGGAGGCCTTTTGTGAATGCAAGCAGGACTTAAGATCCAGGTGAGATGAATGTTTATCAGTTATCACCAGGAAGGAAGGGGTGGCAGCTCCTCCCGTGGGTGGTGGGACCAGAGAGAGTGAGGCCAAAGGCAGAAGGCCCAATTTCCCACCACTTGCTAAATAGGAGGCATAGCATTGTCTTGAACTGCTTAGAGGCCCCTGAGTTCAAGGCCCATTGGAACAGGACTGCTAAGCCCCTCAAGAAAGGGATCATTTTCTCAATGGAGGAAAAGGGAAAGGTGATACTTTTTGTAATTTACTTTTCCTCTGCTCCCAAGCCTACTTCCTTCCATGGCCTGTGAGAAGTAGGAATAGATATTTATTCACATTTCAGCAGGCTGCCTTTCACTGTGCTAACAGTGAGGATCCTCCTGATAGAGATCCTCTAGATTAAAGAATTCTTTCTCCAGCAGGACTAAGTGGGAGTCTCACCAGGGGTGAACTAGTGGGACATGCAGCAGAAAGGAGTTTATCCTCCCATAGCACCCCAGCATTGCTATGTGAAAGAGGCCTCTGGGGTACCAACTGGATGGAAGTCACACACAATAATCAGGAAAGAACCTGGAGTCCTCAGTTCTCTATTCAACAGAGCAGGAGACCGCACAAGCCCTTGCTCTCTCAGTGTGCTAGTGCATGCAGGTAATCTCCAAAGGGACGCTGAGCATAGTGTTCTAGGAGCAGAGACAAGAAAGAAGGGCAGCTTCTATCCAAGCTCCCAGTCAAATCTGAAGCAAAAAGTCTCTCCAAACAACTTTTAAAGTGAAGCCAGTTTGTATTTGAAACACTTAGGGCTTGCTTATTTACAAATTCACTCAATAAACTTGTAGAAAATCCCTACTATGTGCTGGGCACTGTGCCAGACCTGGAGCCATGAGGCTAAAAGCCACAGTGTCTTTTCTCCCTCCTCCCCTTTCCCTTCCAGTTTTATCAGAATCTGCAGAGCACCTGAAAAATGGAAAATAAGTTGTATTGCCTCATATATGTTGCAATTTGTTGAAACTTACTAACACCTATTTTCTAGTTATAAAGTTGTAGTTGGTTGTTGTTGTTGTTGTTGTCAGTCATGGGGCTGAACTCAGGGTCTGGGCCCTGTCCCTCAGCTCTTTTTTGCTCAAGGCTAGCACTCTACCACTTTGAGCCACAGCACCATTTCCAATTTTCTGGTGGTTAATTGGAGGTGTCACAGACTTTGCTGCTGGGGTTGGCTTTGAACTCGATCCTCATACTTCAGCCTCCTGAGTAGCTATGATTACAGTCATGAAGCACCAGTACCTGGCTTTCAATTTTAGTTTTAATCTAGGAAGATTACTTCATAATAAAAAGTACTTGTTCACAAAACCTTCCCAAATGCATGATGAGCAGGTTATTTAACTTCCCTAAGCCTTGGCTATCTTATCTGTAAAACAGGTATATGAATAATAGTTATCTTCCAATATCACAGGTAAATAATATCAATTGTGTAGAGCACATCCTAGAGTGTGTGGTTATTAGTAAACATTAAATAAACAATAACTGCTATTATAAGTAAGCTATGTGCCTGTTCTGTTGGTGAAGTATGAGCACTGGGCTATCCCAATATTGTCTTCTGACACTTGGCTATCTAATGAAGTTGAAAGGTAATGTAATTATTTAGAAACTGCATACATTAACCAGCATCTCAAAGTAAGTAATAGCTTTGAATATCATGAGACAGAATCGGCACCGCTTATTTAGAGCATCAGATTCTTCTGAGTAAAATCTCTATGTTATTCATTATTAGTCAGAGTGGTACCTTTTCACTCTTTTATTAAGAAACATCCCTCTGAGTGTGCAGTGGTATAAATAATGTAAAAATAAGCTATACAGTGAGAGTTCGGAGATGAATTCTTGATGTGCACATCC